TACTTACTTTTACGTTTAGTTAGTACTACTAGTTGTAGTTAGTTAGTAGTAGAACTAGTACGTATACTATATATAGTACGAACCGTACGGTAGAATTAGTTGTGTGTGTGTGTGTGTGTGTGTGTGTGTGTGTGTGTGTGTGTGTGTGTGTGTGTGTGTGTGTGTGTGTGTGTGTGTGTGTGATGTATATGCAAGTGCAAATTTAACATGTTGGTGCCCAACAAAGTACAAGATATTTTTGTGTCAAAAGTTGAGATATTTGGATTTATATAAAAGATTACAGACACTAAAGGCACATTTTAGACTCAATACTGCTATGAAAGGAAGTGTTCACCATACAAATGAACTCTTTGCTACTGGCTCAGCTGAATCAATTGAGTTCAGGACCCCAAATTTACCTTTATAATTTTCATACTATAACTTCTAATATGTTTTGTGTATCTACACAAAATTTTGCAAAATTTCAATAATTAGTAAGAGTTATTTGTAGACAAAATATCAGACTTTTAAACAAAGTATTTTCCCTAAAAATTTCTCCATGAATATATGGAGTCAAAGTGTTGACTCCTCCAAGTGCTAAGTGATTTTCATGTTAAAATTAAAATACTTTTCTTCACTAAAAATTTCTCCATGAATATATGAAGTCAAAGTGTTCACTCCTCCAAGTACTAACTGATTTTCATGTTAAAATTAAAATACTTTTCTTCACTTGAAAAACCTCAAATTTTATTTGAGTTGTCTCTGAAACTTCGTAAATAAATTTCAGAAATTTTTTAAATATAAAACTTTATATTTGATCTGTTATTTTCTCTACCCTAACTATAAATGAGGTTGGTCAATTTCACGGATCTTGTAACCACAGAAAAAAAAATAATTGAAAAACCTAAATTATCCTTTTTTCTTCAAATTGTAACAGAAAACTACATTTGTTTATCGTAAATAGCTTAAAGCTCATAACAGTATACATCTGTTTATATATATAAATTTTATTGTTTTATTCCCCACATCGCTGTGACTCACTAATATTCCTGCCATAAAATTTGTAAGTCACCAGGAAAATGTGCAACTCTGTTACTCTATTGGATTATATGATGCAAAAGCTTACCTCAAGAAACATTTTTATTATTACTATTCTTTATTTTGCCTAATCTAACCTGAAAAGTTTAGTATTACATTTTAGTTACTTTTATAATAATAATAATAATAAACATGAAAACAAGAAATAACGTACCTATCTGGGTCGTCGTTTTTTTTTTTTACTATTAATGGTACTACTGCATTAAGTAATTAATTGATCAAATAGTGCACCAAGAACACAATAATCACATGCAAAGAGAAGACAAGATCCCATAATTATCATAAATGTTCTGGCTTTCTAACTGTGTGACAAGAGCCGTTAAAAATTCAGCTAAGCTCACTTATGTTCCCCATGAGAATAAAGTTTGAATTGGAAGCAAAATGGATAATTCTCCATACAGAAACCAATGTAATTTGATAGATTAAAACCTTGACTTTCTATTGGTTATGAAAACTATAGTATTTACATCAGAAAGAATATGACAGATATTTTAAAGCTCTGTAACTAAACAGGATTGAAAGCTATAAAAATCATGCTTTGTCTGAGCAATAACAACGTTGTAATGAGTAATTATGTTAAATTTTGTACTTCTTGGAGTGGTGGTTAACAAGTTAAAGAAGAGAGGATGCCTTGATAGAAATTGTCACAATTCTCATACTAGAGAAATTCAGGATTTTTTATAATATTGCCATAAAAAATTAAGAACTTAAAACATATACTATTAAATTTGGATTATAAGCTACATTTTTATGCCAAACTTATTTGTATACCATGATAAGAAAGTAGTTTAATTAAATTTTGAATGTAACTCACTAAAACTTCATGACATGCAAAGAAAAGGATGCCTGTAGGGAAAGTGTTAATGGTGTACCATGTGATTCAATGATGCAGAGATTATATTGTTAACATATATATGTTTGATCCAAAGATGGTGGTATGATAGTTTAGCTACTAGGACATGGTAACTGTACTTAGTCTGCATCTGTTTCAACATGTATAATATATGTACTGTAGTGGACAGTACAAATATTAAATCAGGTTTGTTGAATTCTGCCTGCCACATAAGTGGAAGATATGATGTGCCCCCTATTTTGAAAAAGAATATATTAGTTTCCTAAAAACCAACATTTTTTAGCTTACTGATTTCTCACTAGAAAGATGGCAATATGTTAAAGGAAAACATGGTGTGTAACCCAATGTTTTCATTAATACTAGTTAAAAATGTCCTCAGAATGGCAGGAATATTACATATTGAGTGAAATCCAGAAAAGTAAAAATTGATAGTAGCTCAAGGGCCCATAACAGTATGATGTTTCAAATGACTTTTTTGTTAAACAATTGAGTTGTAAAAATTAAAACATTTCATAAGCTTTCAGTATATACACACCAGTGTATGGATCTAATTGTATCGTTTCAGGTCTATCTAACACTAAGTCAAATTGAAGCATAATATTTGTTAATGAATTCTAGTGGTCAGGAGACTTTGCCTACTTGTAAATATGCCAGCCAGATTTTAATTATTTTAGGGACAACATGCTAACAGTTTTTGTCCATTTTCCCACTGGATCCAAGTTGTTTTTCATAACCAGATAATGAAAGATTTCTGTACATGAATAGTAGCCATACTAATTTGAGGTAGCTGTCTTTGCTTGGCAACAATACCACAGGGAGTACAGCAGTATGTTGTTCAAGGTAGGTCTCATAAGAAATCTATTGAATCAGGACATTTACCTGTGCTTGGGGACATTTCTAGGATTATAAACATCTGAAAAGATGGCATTTGAACAATGATATTGTTGTAACACCCAGTACAACTTCAAACTCTACACTACTATTGAACTTCTGAATTATCAGAGTTTCAGTTGACAGAGTTTTCACTCTTGATTTTAGCTAGACAGTGCCAAATTCTTGAACTTCTGACTAACCTTTATTATTATTATCAAACTTGCCAGAAACTTTAGTAAGCATTACAAGTCACATCTTTTTTTTAGCATCATTTTTTTATTAAAGACTTGCCTGTGAACTTCTAAAGCCTTTTAAGGAATCAGTCTCATTTGCATAACCTCTTGAACCTAATACATTTATTTTTTTTTGGTAAATCTTACTAAGCTGAGAAATTCATAATTTTTTACATTTTAGTTACTTTTGTTAAAAAATATACATAAACAAGAATTTGTACTAATCAACTGTGTACTCAATACAGTTTGCACTCAACTACATTCTTTTGTAAGACTTGCACAAAATGAGTTTGTCCAAAAAAATAAAATGCATGGAGCTTTCAAGTATACATTTAGAACAAAAAATATAATGTAATATAATATGTGATTTGATAGATGAAACCTTGACTTTCTATTGGTTATACATAATATAGAATTTAACATAAGAGAGAACTACTAACAAATCCTGAAAGAGAAAATGTGATAGGAGGGGTCTGATTTTCCATTTGATATAGTTTGAGCAATTTACGTTAAATTTCATACTTATTGGAGGGGTGGTGAATGAAATAGAGAAGAGGGGATTCCTAGAGAAAGTATGTCCCATTTCCCACACTAGGAGAAATTAAGAATTTTTTTTAAATATTGCATTATAAAATTAAGAACTTAAAACTTACATGTTATTAAAATATGGATTATTAGCTACAATTTTATGCTATACTAATTGGTATAACAAACAAAAAGTAGTTTAATAAAATGCTGCATGTAAGTCACTAAAATCTCATGACATGTGTAGTAAATGCTGCCCGAGCAGAGATGGTTAAAGAAAAATAAACTTGTTTGTGTTTTCTTAGTTGAATCGGCCAGGTGGTTAGGGTGCTCGACTCGCAATCTGCAGTTCGCAGGTTAGAATCTCCGTCACACCAGACATGCTCGCCCTTTCAGCTGTGGGGGTGTTATAATGTGATGGTCAATCCTACTATTCGTTGATAAAAGAGTAGCCTATGAGTTGGCAGTGGGTGGTGATGACTAGCTGCCTTCCCTCTAGTCTTACACTGAAAAATTATGGGCGGCTAGTGCAGATAGCCCTCGTGTAGCTTTGTGCAAAATTCATAACAAACAAACAAACTTAGTTGAATCATAATGGATTTGAAAGCAGCATCAAATACCATGAATATTCTAATGTCAAGCAAGAATGAAAACTGCAAATTAAGATCCAAGCTTGTTTTATGTACCATTTAGAACCTTTTACAAAACTTCAACAAATAAAACTACTCACCAAGTCAATAATACTAATCTGTCTACTGTCATTGGAGGCTTATCTTCACTTCCTTGAACTTCAACATCAACAGGAAAATCAAACACACAATATCGACATTCTGTCTTGTAATTATCAAGGGTTTTCAGAAAATCATCATAGGTAGCACCTCTGTCACCTTTCATTTCCACATCAATAATTTTTTCATCTTTGATATGGTATATTATGTATCTATAGCTCTTGTCCTTCTTCACTTCATCATAAGCATTCTTGGATTCTGTTGAAACTTTCACACCAGAGGACTATAAAAAAAAAAGATCCTGTACAAGACTACTTGTATAAAACAAATAACATCCTTTAAATATTGCACACAAGGCATTCACCAGTTAAATACAATATTAAATGGAATTTCTTTATAAAGAATATAAAATGAAAACTCTTTAAGGACCAGATTTACATTAGTAGATAACTTGGCATAAACAAGCATTTATTCCATCAGCCACAACAATAATCAAATGCATGCATGATGTTACATATAAATAGAACATTACTGGTTAAGATTGATGTTACACAGAGGTTTCCAATTCATATCACCTGATGCCAAGGACACAACAAGATTCCTGCTTTACTTTGTCCATTGGACAAGTAGATTTTTTTAATTTGAATTTTTTTTTATCTCTTTTTTTTTTCTATAAAACTTTGATATTACTGTGTTATCCT